AAATTATAATTTAAATATTAATAATATCAATATTCAAAAAAATTATTATCTTTTTTGGGATGATTATCATATAACAACTTTAATTCATAAAATTTTAGCAAATCTTATTTATAATATTATAAAATATTAATTTTATTACTAATAATTATTAATAATTTTATTTATATATAAATATAACTTTAATTAATAACTAAATCAATTTTTTTCAAAAATGACAATAAGTAATATACATGAAAAAATTAATAATAATATTGATTATTTAAATAATAATTTCAATTATTTGAATAATTTTACTATTAATGAAAGGAATGAATATAAAAATATATTAAGTGAAACACTTTATCTTACATATTCATCACATCGATTAGATGATTTTAAAGAATTAATAGAAATTGTTAATGAAAAATTTTCAGATATGTATAATGAAAAATATAAAAATTTTACCTTTTTAACATTTAGAGATATGGTAGAAAGTGTTTATGATAAATTAAAACTTGAAATAGAATATAAAGAATTTCAAAAATATCCTCATAATCCTTTTGTTAATGTAAATTTTAAACCATTAACAGGTTATGATTTTAAATTAAAAAAAGTTTAATATCTATATTAGTAAATTTATTTAAATTTCTTTATATAGAATATTTATTCTAAATAGAAGATAACTTTTGAACTTTCTATAAATTGATTATTTTTTAATTTCAAAATTTTATTTATAAAATTATATTATAATAAGAAAAATTATATTCTAATATTTAATAAAAATTTTAGTAATTAATAATTACTCGGTTTAAATATTCCGATTTTTTAAATATAAATATTTATCCTTTTTTTTCAAGTAAATAATTCAAATCAAAAAAATGGCTTTGAAATATTCAAAAGAATATCTTGATAATTATGAAAATAATAAAAATTTTGAAACAAAGCAAATCAAAATTAAAAACTTTATTGATAAAATAAATAATAATATTACCAATAAAGAAGAAAGAATTCTTTTATTGGATAGAATTCAAAATGGAATTAAATTAATCAAAGAAAATTATGATAAAGAAAGATATTACGAATATAAAAAAGCAGGAGTTATTAAATTAGATGGATTTGAAATTGATGATTTTA